TTGAATTTATTGTAATTTGGATGATAATAAAATCAATTAAATAAATTTTAATATAATTAAATGTGACAATTAAAAATCATAATATGGAGGGAAAACATGAAAAAAAAACCCTAAACTTGGTTGAAGAGACAAATATAAGATTATATATTCGGCCTCTTCAAACAAAAAAATTAAAACAAAAGTTAAATATCTTTTTTGATCACTTGAGGAAAAAGTCCATTTTTAGTTTATGTATTGAAAATATATTTTTTTTATTCTTAAAATTTAAAATTTAACCTTTTTTTATCCATCAATTAAATTTTAATTAATGTAAAATGTTAACTAATAAAAAAACTTATTTTTTTTACTTAAATTATGTGGATAAATTCATTTTGTAAGAATTAGTAACATGACATAATTTTTTATATAATATAACTTTAAAAATTATTTAATTACATGATTGCCATCATAATTATTTTAAAAATTATTTTTTGAGTAAGAGTACTTTCTTTAATTACTTATTTGTCTTTATCTTCTTCCCCCTTTTGTCTTATCCTCCCCTTCCTCCGGCCTTGACGACATAAAATTAATCACCGACCAACACAACAGGAGATCAACATGGACAATTAGTAAATTAAGCAATGCAAAATCTTGTTCTGAATATCTCACTTGTTCTTCATGAGATAATAATGCATAAAGCTGAGATTCAACTCCTTCTAGTATAATAATTTGAGTCTTAAAATTTCAAAGAAAAGTTATATTAGACAAAAGATTGGAACATTTAAGATTTGGATTTCTACGTTGAAAACATTGAAACATGAAATCGAGTAGTTCATCACGAGATTACTAACTCATAAAGAAGAGATTCAAGTCCAAGTATAACAAATTAACATTTTGATTATTTTCGAAGAAAAGTTGAATTAGATTCAAGATTAGAACACTTCCATTGCAGATTCAAAATTGAGAACACCCAAAGCAAACATCAAATCAAGAACAACCAAGGCTGGAAAAGTAATTCTTCTAGATTATAACTAAATCGATCAAAAAAATTGTACATGGAACCCAGAAACACATGAGGAACCCAGTTTCTAGGTTGCACGAGGAACCAACTGGGTTCCTCAAGATTTGGGTTGCACGAGGAACCCAAAAACTGGGTTTCCCATGGAACCCAGATATGGCTTCCTCGAAGAACCCAGTTTATGGGTTTTATGAGGAACCCAAGAAATTTTAATTTGAAGAGGGATGATGAAGATGATGGCGAGTAGGATGCCAAGGATGAGGAGGAAGAGGAGGAGTTGGTGGATAAGGATGAGAAGAAGGAACGAATAAGATGAAGTGATTAAAATTAATTTCATTTAAATTTATTTAATTTATGAATTAAAAAATAAAATTTTTAATTTACATACGTGACCATTAATATTCCACTATTAAAATTCCTTTTTAATAGCAATTACTTATCAACAAGGTGAGCCTTGTTGATGATATAGATTTTCACTAACAAGGCTTATCTTGCTGATGTTCAATTCCCTCAAAAAGTAAATTTAACTTTCAGTAAGGTTAAATACTTAATTGGGTCCCTGAACTTTCAGTTTTAGACTAAGTTCATCCTTAAACTTATTAAATTATCAAATTTATCCTTAAACTTTATTTTTTCGTTACCAACTTGTTAATTTTCCTTAAAATTTAAATTTAATTAAC